TCGGTGTCTGCAGAATTGGTGGAGATACATCGAAAACCAGAATGCTGTACACGGGCGCTTAAGAATTTTATTGGCACTTAACTTGCCTCCTCCTTTTTCTTTGGCATTGACAACTTGTTCTTGTGTGAGGGATGACTGCCAACATTGCTGGCTGTCCTTCTTCGCATGAGGGCTATGGTCTTCACCTCCATTCATCAGCTACATCCATGTCCACCTCACCAAACACCTTTGGTGTGTGACAACATGTTCAGTAGGCTATTAGAGCTTGGGGCTCATAACCTCACAGAAGTATCTATACAAGTAACTCAGTCACGTGCGCAGACAGTGACAATGTCTGTATATATTTACCTATACAAGTAACTAGGTGCAGTGGTAAGCATAGTAAAGTAAGCAGAAGGATATCGTACTCACCTCAGTCGTGCACAGACAGCGAACAACATCTGAGGTGATGGGGTCTACAGTGCAGAACTAAATACTGTAATGTAACAATAGAAGTGAAACACTGGGTGTTGAACCCATTTACAATAAGTATTGTCTCGTTGTGAGACATGCTATGGTCTTCATGGATAACAAGAGGACTCACACATAAGTGCGAGACACTGTGAATACAATAAACATAAGGACACGGAGAGTTAGTTTGTGCGTTCAGTAACAGTGTTGAGTAAGAAAAGGGTCTAAAGCAGAAACCAGTTCTCATGACCCAGAGCGGATGCATTCAGAACGGGCTATGTGCAACCTGCCAAATCTAACACTAACTTATGGTAAGTACTATCATATCCTTATGTACATTTGATTCTCATTCACTCCATACAGGCCAAAGGATAGCAAAGAACTCTTCAACCTTTGCCATGCCATGCTTTGAAACAACATCAAGCATAACTTTGGAATCATAAAGCAGCATTTTCACACCCTCGTTCTTCTGCCCAAGTATGATATGGCAATCCAATCATGGTTGCCTGTGGCTGCATGCTGCCTTCACAATATTATCTGCCTCCATGATCCTGACAATGTTGACATGCCAGATCCTGATGCAGTTGGTGAAGAAGAAGGGCCACTCCTAGCACCTGAAGAAACTGATGTCAGAGACTTGCAAGATATTCCATTGAACACTGAGTCATGCAGGCAGATGAATGCCTTGCATGACACAATCGCAATGCAGATGTGGGAGGACTATTGTGCTGAGCTTGTGAGGTGTGGTTGATTCAGCCATTTGTAGTTTTTGTATTTTTTGTATTGCATACCCTGTATTCACAACTCTCTCATGAATGTTACTGCTCCCAAACATCATGACTCGACCTTTGCATTGTGATTTACTACTGCATTGACTACAGTGTAATGGCACAAGTACAGATAGACTACTTATCCCCCCCCATTCCTGCATATTCCAGAACCTCACAGCCAACTGCCTCAAGCCTCATCTTGACCCAAAACATTCTGTATGTTGGCAAGTGAGCAGTGGCATTCTTGTAACCTGCAACATAAGAAGGTTTCTCTTCAAATAGCATTTGCAAGTGGACCAGGTTTTGCTCTGAAAGGTTCTTCTCAAGCTCGAACATCAGCATGCAAACTTCATCTAGATCTCAGCTCTTGGATTGGTCAAGAGCAGTGAGTGTCTTGGTGATGTTATCTTGCACACCAGTCATGAGATCCTACACTGCATCTTCAAGGCCAGCTGTCTGTGAGCGTCGCTTTCGAGAACCAGAAGAACTTCCCCTGGAAGCTGTTGTGGATGTGGTGTCAAGCTCAGCAGTGGCATCACTTTTCTGCTTCTTGCCATGAGACAACAAGCCAGATGAAGGTTTGATGGATGTGCTTACTGATGTCATTGCAGAAGATGGTGGTGATGTGGGAATCAACAAAGGGGAGACCATGGGGTCAGGTAGGAGTATGGGTGGCACACCAGACCAGGCCTGCAAAACACCTGGTGGTAGAGGCATACCCTGAGCATTTATAGTGGGCTGCACTGTCTGAGGAGTCAGCATAATTTGACTTTGATCAGGAGACCTGGGTTGATACAGCACAAAGGTAAACTGTAAAGCAGCTTGCATTGGTGGCATGGGGGGAAAATTGGATGGTGTGGATGTGGAAGCCTGGGACCTTTGGGCAGGGGGTCAGGAACAGGTGGCATGGTGTGCATTGGTGCCCCTCACCTTGTCAGGAAGGACAAAGTCTCGCATACAATCGAAGTATTTGAAGCCTGTGTTGCAGTACTGGGCAGTATCTGGTTGATTCTAGTGGATGGTCAAGGATTTGCACACCACATAACAAGAAAATCCCAGACATACCTCAAAATATCATCCATCATGAGTTGCCCTGCCTCAGTTACAACATTATAGCACCTTTTGCTGCTGAATACACAAGCCCTGACCCCCCTGCCACAGCTGAAGCTGCATAATAATCCCATTTCAGCTGTTTATGAGATGAGTGATACAGAACACAAGGATAAATCAATCAACACACACTTTCCCACTTGTCCTGACAGTTTTTTGCAGTTTTACAGTAGCCATTGGGTTGGACAGGTAACTGAGATACTAAATTGTTAAAGTGCCCTGCTTGAAAAGCCATATGATTGCCTGCCTTGGGTTGGATTTCCTCCAGAAAATCAAGAAGTATCTCAACATCTGCATGGGGCCATACAGCTTGCAACTTTGGCTGAGGCTCAGAGCTGGAACTGATTGATGGGGCCTTTCCCTTTGACCCAGAACCCCTACCTTCCATCTTGCTGTGAAGTCAAAGTGAGCAGCAGGTCAGGGACAGGGAATGATCTAGCCTGCGATAATGGTCAGTTTGTTGAGGTGGCATATCATACTATGCATACGTGGGTAACTGTGAGTCATCACCTGATCAGTAGACACTACAGTTGCAGATAGTCTGCAATTATCAACTTGGAAGTCTGCTGAACTCTGCACAGACTTGGTTTGTATATGTTTTGCATAAGGAAGCAGAAATTTCGCTACCATTCAGGCCCTTAGACTATTAGTTACTAGGCAGTTCCAGGGTCCACAATCTCATAATACTTATGTACCGAAATATTTCCTAATATGGTATAGATACATTACGTAACACACTAATAGTGGGGCAGAGCCTCGGGTACATGGCACCCTGGAAACCTCCACCCTTGAATTCTTTAAGCTGATCCTTCTCGCCGACTGTAAATCCGCAAATTCAATTGCAGACAAAAGATCGCGGCACCGATAACCCCTGCGTCTGGCAACCATCCCATCATCATGTGGCACTTGCGGCGGCGGCGTAGTCCAGGGTCCCACCTCTCCTTTTTCACTATCATCCCGAAAATACGATTCAGTGAATGTAACTGCCAGCTAAAAGTTCGAGGATCGTCAAATAGCCGAGACGATACTTACTCGCGCAGCCCGTTCGTATCTACCAGCGCTACGAACCCGCATTGCGGGACAGGTAGCTCGGTTGGTTCATCCTGCCCCCAGGATACATCTATGGACGGACAGTGTCATCTGAAACCTCCTGATGCCACGGAAATACATACATGAATTTTGTCAAGGGACAGCAAGGCTGTCAGGAGTTCACGTCCCATAACGATATCCACAGTTGAATAGTGTAGTTCAATGCCTTGGTCAGTTATAGAAACTGAACCTTGAAGGGTGACATGAAGGTGAGGCTGCCTCTTCGCGCGTCCGCGCCAACTCTCGGTACTTCAGCAGTACCAAGCACGACCGATGACCAAGAATGAAATTGGTGCATCGATCAGTTACGCACAAGAACGGATGTATTCCGGGCCCAGATCACTGTGCCTGTTTCTCATGATCTTACTAACTTGTGGGACCAGATAGGGGGGTGTTCAAACAGCGACTGAGGTTTAACTTATGTGTAGGTCACGGTAGTTTAGACATGGTGACTACGACGATGACTCACCGGTTGTGCCACCCTAGAAGCCCGGCGGATGCCCTCAAGGCAGCACCCGCGAAAAGAGGAAATAGGTATTGTGAATTCCTAGTTGTCAGTGATTCTTCGTCCCCCCCCCCAGACAGAATGTGATTACAATCGTAGTACCGACCTAAATGATGTTGTGCCAGACATGAGTCACCGAGATTAACGATGACAAAAACTTGAAGTATTCGCGACTCCGCGAGTGTGCGGAAGTTGTCGTCCGAACGCAGTGAGGCTTGGAACTGTTCGGACTCAGGTGAAAATTCCAAGCACGTGCATTACATAATGGGCCCAACTTCTTCACATGTCCAGGAGCTTGCCTACAAAACTTTGGGTTTAGAGTTGTGCCAAAACGAATCACGCGGCTAACGCAAGCGCCCCCAGGCGCCTGGGTGATCAGATGAGTGCTGAACGGGCAATTCATTTTTGCACGCTCCAAACCAAACCCAAAGCTTGGTATTCACATTTGCTCACCGGGGGCCTTTTTGTTGCGTCATTTTTTTTAAGTTTCCACCCTTGTCTGAAACTTTGAAGTTTAGCCCGTGTCAACGCCGAACTTGGAATGTTCACCCGAGTCCAGCCACCCCACGAACTCAAAAGTACATAAGTACAGCCTCACATTCAAACAGCAAATGCAAGCTGCACAGGAAAAACTTGAAGTTTTCGCCACCTTGTGGACCTCCGAGCGAACTTGAAGTTCTATGAGGTGTGACACAGGCTACAAAACGAATTTAATCTTCGCGATTCACGTCTAGTACAACATTTAGGTTGGTATCACTAACATTGCAATCCTCATTGCAAGTCCCAAAGGTCGAGCTTATGTAAGCAGCTGAATCACGTAATAGGTTACTTTCCTCTGGTTCGAACCCCTGAATTCTCCAGCGTGTACGGTATACGCTACGACAAGTACGGAACTGCCACTAAGGGTTGCAAAAACCGACCCGTGATCATATTAAGGGCCATATCGCGCGCCTCAGGCTAGTTTCGCCAAATCGCCGCAAGGATATGCTCTGCGGTTATGCAGCAACAGACTACAGTAAGAGTAGTTTTCCTCTATCGCTTCTAAAGCAATTGAAACGGTTATTTCCGACGTTCAGCGCTCCCTGCCGTTGATACTCACTGCACTGGGTGAAAAAATTGACAGCAGTTTCGCTTTCGCTTCAGGACCCCGAGTCCGTTGTGATGCTGATGCGGCGGCCTACACCCAGGATTACCGCGCATAGGTTTGCACTTCGTCTGACATGCACTGGACTCGCAGGGCCCAGGTGCAACAATTTTTTTCAGCCCTTGGGCCTCACGTTACCCTGCTTTCACCAGTGGAAGTAACATGGGGACATCATTATTACATATCACGCTTTCGTCACAATCATCGTGCTTGCGACCTCTCGGACGCTCAGCACTGAGCCAAGCGCATGTAGGCTGTCAGTTTATTAGCAGCAGCAGCAGCATCTGCCTGTTCCGACTCAGTTGTTCGTGTTTCCCGCTCTTCCTCTCACATTCCTTGCTGCACTCTACATTATGGTAAACCTAGATGTGAGCCTAGACGTGATAAAGAAAGTGAGCAGTAAGTGCCATGTTCCTTCTCATCAAGCCTAGTTGACCGAGCCAATGAATAGCGGGAACGGCGGTTCTACAGGTAATCGGGTTGCTGTTGGCCGTCTTTCGGTTTTGGTTCCGGTATCGAATACAACGGTTGTGGTGGGAAGATGCCTGGGCGTTTGCCGCTTTCCTCTTCGCCATCAGTTACTTGGCGGGAAGTTGGTTGTATGTGCACTATGGTGCGTAAAACGTTTGGTGGTTCAGAAAACCAGTCTCACTTGATTCCCAGGGAAACCGATTGCGACGGTCGGGTCTTGGATGTCCACTTTCGCATTCAACCCGGTGATATGGTGCGACATAGCCCCTCTCCGACTACTGCAACTCTGATATGGTCACTGTTGTCAGGCTTGTTCGTCACAGCACAATACTGTCGGTGGCACGAATTATCTATCCGTCCATGACACTGCGAAGAATGGTGCTAGGAATAGGCTTGGGTTTCTTCCTGCTATTTATCACCTTCATGGCGGCAAAGTTGTGGTTTTATTTCCATGACTTGAGCTGGATGAACGATACTTTGTTCTATGGGAATCCACTCCTTCCTTTAAGCACCAAGCTGGTTATCTTTGAATTGACGAGTGAGTTTAACCTGCAAATACTCATTGCTTACCCCTCTGTGACAACGCAACGTAGTTGATTTCCTCGCCGATGCAATCCTCATTGCTCTGCCCATAAAGCTCTTATGGAGCGTCAAACTACCCACTCGACAACGACGGATGATTCTATTGATTTTTGCATCGGGCATCATGGTTACGCTCGCAGCTATCTGCCATACTACATGTCAGCTCCTGGGCCTTCACTCGATTGTTATTTTGGCCATGGATGTCGAGGTGAGAACACACCACGAAAATCTTCCCTAGTCAGTCTCATACACTCCCTGTTTATTGGTTTTCAGGTTGCGTTGTCTAGCATTATGTGTAACTTACTCGTTTTCGTGACGTCCCTCTATCGATATGGCCGTTCAGGATCCCTCTCCCCCTCTACTGACTCTGAGGAGGACGACGACTATACAACACCGGTCCGACCGCGTCAGACCTCCCAGCTTCTGACGACAATTGAAGTAGGCAATTTGGAGTACTCCTCAGAGAACGGGACGTCTACATGGAGCGATGGATGCACTAGCGACGCAACCTCGGCTATATCGGGCACACGTAGCTCCTTGGAAGAATAGCGATCCGAACAAACGTCAAATTGATTCTATCATATCCCAACTCACCTCCGCTGCCGCTTCCTAATTTATTGATCCACTTGGACCCTGATATGTGATTAACTCTTAGAGTTTGCCGCTCGTTGTCAGATACTTACCGTTCTTCTCTGCTACACCGGTGTTGATAACTCTGCGTTCTTACCCTCGTGTTCGTTGTACTCTGCAAAAATGGAAAGAGAAAATATACTCGCGGTAACCTAAAAGGTTGTTGATCTGATACACACGAGATTGGACGTATTGAGTCAGACCTAGATCACGCATTGAGCCAAGATCTGACAGGCATTCAAGCAGGGGCTAATAGTCGAACTACATATGTGGTAGTAGGTGAGGCACATCGGGAAGCGAAAAAAAATGGTTTAAACCTGTTTAAACCCGTCACTGACTGGTCGTGACCGCGGTTCCGTCATTCCCCGTCTCTCTGATGCATGGTGATCAGTGAGGATGACTTGTGGTGCGCCCTTTAAAGCCGGATGCTACAGACATATGTAGAACTCATTTCATCCTAGATTTGGCCAGCCTCATGGCAGCCGGTCAGCATAAGTGCAGTTTAACGTCTAGTTGCAGGTTTTAGGCCGCCGTCCCTACTCCAAGGTGAAGGTCTGAAATGGCCGGCGGGTATAGTGAACCGTTTGGCGGGCTAAAGGTCCTACCAACAGGGCATTCACTCGGCCGAGGCGTTTGGTGGGCCGCAGGGGGCCCAAGACATCGAACTACCCTACCCTCAAGCATACAGTTTTTTTTTTTACTTAAATTAAAAAAGCCGGATTTTTTTCAAAGCCGCCACTCACGGGAAAGGGAAATAGGTCTGGACTGCCTGAGCCGCGTTGTTGAGCCCGGAATTCTACCGATGTTAGGCTTTCTTCAGGTCCGAACATCGGGATGGCAGGGTGTGCGGTGCCATCGACGTCACGGACTGCTCAAACCGTGCAACCAATATAATATGGAAAATATTCCTGAGCGATTGCCTCGGACAAATCCTATCGCATTCTCAGATCTTGCATCACATCGCTTACCTATCTACGAGGACGACCGAATCCAAGACAGAAAACCCTGCAGCAACACCGCCTTCATTACTTTCCACACCTTTGGTCCTCACTAGCCACCCTGCATCCCCCCGTTCACGCACACCTGTCTCGCAAGAAAACAGAGCCCATCCGAAGATACCCAACTCAGAAACCGTCTCGGAACGGACCGTCTTGTTGCCTCCTGGAGTTGACCCCCCAGCGCGAATAAGGTAGGACCCAACGCCCTGCGGAGGCAGGATCAGCTGCATAGCAATCCAAGCTTCCCGATCTTGCATGGGAAGTGTCTCTAGAAATGGTGGTATATCTTGCTTATACACATTATTCCCACCACCCTCACGCTGTGGTTTGAGAACGAGCGAGTCTGCCAGAGCACGTGCATATGTCGTTCCTCTCGGCTCGTCCGTACACTGTTGTATAGCATGATCGGCGGGAGCCACAGGCGGATTGGGGTCGTCCAGCGACCACATCGACATCCACGTCTCCCTGAGGTCTTTCGCGCCTGTAACAATGTCCCGTGCATCTGTGTCACGTATGAATTGCTCTACGACACCTGGTCGACTGAGAAATTCCTGGACTTTCTTCCCACCTGCGAGCTGGAGTGGGATAGTTGGACATTTGATGGCACGGCTTCGTTCTAGAGTGAACCGAGTGGCGTAATGTGTTGTTGTTGGGTAGTCAGACGGAACATATCCAGCGCGGAAGTAGACAGTGGAGATCTCTAAACTTGATTCGGACCCTGACAGCGAGAGGGCAGGAGCGATCGCCAGTCGCAAAATACGAGTATCCGCGTCAAGCGTGGCAGAAGATGCAAGTTCTTCGAAAGTCTGACGGACAACGCAGATGAAGTGTCTGAGTAGTGTAAGTTAGCAGGTGCTATCCCAGTGGAATGAGACTTACTTCTCTAATAGTTCGTACTCTAGCCATCGCTGGTCGAACACGTTGCGCTCATTCGGCTGCACAACGAACAAGACATATGCACTATGGAGAGAAACTAGTCAGCCCCGTGTCTGCCGAGGCGCAAGGGAACAGTACCCCGGAACACCATACGCCTTATGCGCCTCTGCGAGCCCCTCAGCTAGACGCGCAGTGGTATCGTTAAGGGGAAAATTCTCCGATTTGAGCCAAGGCAATACGCCATAATAATTGGTGAGAGCGTAGAGATACCTGAACTTCATCATGGGCAGATGGAGCGCGACGACATGGATAAATCTACCTATGCATAGCCGCTGCCCTCTCGGACAGCGGTCCAAATGAAGAGGATATAGTGTTAAATTCTACCTGCTTCAGAGAGATCGTTCCATCTTCCCCGCCGGTATGTAGCAGATAGTCTGACCGGAACAGACCAAGATGGAGAGGCTGCAACCTCGCCTTATCAGTAACGCGATTTCAGGGATTCCGTCGGACTGGGAAGGTTTGAGTACCTGCACGATCCCTTCGTCTCGTATGGCTTTCCACCCTCTCCAAAGCGTCCCTACAAACTCGTCCGCCTTGCCTACGCCCTCTACGGCGCCCATGACCTTGTCTAGGAAGTCGTCGTCCATAGCGACCCGCGCGTAGAGAATATTGTATGAGGACTGCAGCTGCTGGGCCCGCTCGAACAGTGAGCGTGGGATGGGCGAGGGCAGGAGAGATATGGGTGCATGGATAACAGAGGACGGTGAAGGCGGCTGCGTTGCGCTCGGTGGAAGATACGTCAACCCATGAGACAGCACATATGTCGTTGCGTGCTGGGTTAGTGCGCCGATCTGATCGTCGGTCAATGACGGTGGCCATTGCGAATAGTCGAAGGCGGTAGAGGCCATGGTCGGGACGGAGACGGACGCCAAGTAACTTACTCTACAGAAAACTATCTAACCCCTCGCAGTGGTCGTCGACAACAGTGAAGACAAGAGATTAGATCATGAATCGCACGTGACTTGGAGTGATGAGGTTGCTTCCGCTTGCTTGCCAATCATCGCAGGACGTCCGCAAAACTTGTTAGTCATCGTCGTCATCATCATGGCATCCGTTGCGAGGTAAGCGCGTGCAGCTGGTGTCGCATGAGCTGTCACAGACGTTCACGACAGATCCCTTACTACCTGCATCTTTTGCAAGATTGTCAAGGGTGTGTGCATCCCCCGAAGCTGATTTCAAGAATTGTCATGTACATCGCCACTCTCCAGGTGAGATACCGAGCTTCAAGCTCGTCGAGACCGATCTTTCGTAAGTCTGGCCTCAACGTCGTACACGTCCTTTTAACGTCGATCGCGCAAGATACTCCTTCCTTGACATTGGTCCACTCTCGAGGGGTCATGCCCTCATCATTCCCAAAGGTACGGTCGGGTGGCCTAGTGCCCTACATAATTCCTGGAGTGGCTGAAGTTCGCCCCTCTGCGCAGATCACGCAGCTAAGCTCCATGAACTTCCTAATGAATATTTAGCCGATGCTATGCCCATCGCGAAGAAGATCGCCGTGGCTCAAGGTTTGGAGAACTACAATATCCTACAGGTCAGTAGTGTATACATACGTCGACACGTTCTTTCCACTACCGTAGTCCTTTCGATTTCAGTGTTGATAACATGATTTGATTTGTAGAACAACGGTCGTATTGCCCACCAGGAAGTTGACCACGTCCACTTCCACGTTATCCCCAAACCTTCTGCAAGCGACGATGAGGGTCTGGTCGTTGGATGGCCAGCTAAGCCGGCTGACAAGGAAGACCTGAAAGCCCTACAGCAGGAACTGGTCGATAAACTGAGCAAATTGTAGTGACAGCACGCCGCTTCGGTGTTAGATCGGAATCGTCATGTAACCATTGGATTTGTAACACTATCAACGCAGTTGCATACTTGAAACCAAGACCGTCGAGTAGAGAAGTACAAGAGTTTGAATAGGACACTCACTCCTTGTCTCAGGGTATGGAAGCTGAGACGGACCCCTACGGATTATGCCAGCACCAGCGATTCAGAATGCTCATCAGTGAGTCATGCCTACAACTAGCACCTAAAGAGATGTTGCATGAAAGGGATATCGGAGCAGCACATTCGGTGGACGTTTGCAAAACAACTTGAAAGTTTAACCGAACATATAGGATCAGTGAATACGCTGCGAACGCACCATCGCGAGTTATTCGAAGGTTACTAGTAATGCGCAACGCCGCTGAGCTAGCAACTTCACCAAAGACAATTTTACCAATCAATGACGAAACAACATTTTCCCAATCGTACAGGTTTGACCGCTGTCTTGTTGCCCGTGGATAATATCACTCTTTGTAAGCGAAATGTGAGTGGACAATTGCCGACGACTGCCTGCAGAGTCCCGTTCATTTGTCGATGAAGGAGCAATTAGCAACACTGATTCGGCAGGCCCTTAACCAAATCATTTATTGACTCACAAGCAAGGTGCGAATAGTACTCAAGCTCGTATTGAGAGTTTGTAGCACGATAACACCAGGGAGTTGGTAGTGTGGGTGGAAAATCAAACCTTCCTGCCGAATTTCTGGCATCCGGGCTGAAATATGTGAAGTCGACGGCTCACAGTGGACATGCACCGTAAGTACGATAGTGGTGGTCCATCTCTCGTCGTATACACTTTCATTGTTGGTTCTGCACGACCATGACATGAATACTAACGCCCACGGTAGCGGTGTACTACTCGTCCTGACATCACAACACCGTAACTATCTATACGGTGACATTGAATATCCCGATTTTGCTTTGGAGGATACTGGCCGAGTCTACAGGCTGAGCCGTGATAAGGGCAGAAGATGCAATCCTTTTGTACTCATTGTGAGGCAGTTCAGTCAACTAGTGGGGGTTAAATGGTCGTTCTAATGTTACGAACAGGTGTTCCTGTAGTAGCGGCACTTGGCTTGGTGGATCCATCAAGCGACTTCGAATGCTAGGGGCGGACGAGCCGCAGAGAAGAACTTGTCATATTTTCAGTCGCGGCGTTTTTGAGCCTTTCGGGCAGCATAATCTCAACTGGTCTCAACCCGACGCCTAGATTGCATATGCATAGCTAGGTAAGGATGGAGTTGCACTCTTCAGATGGACCGCAGTGACGCGATAGGAAAAAAACATGGCAATGTGACGCAACGGTTTAGAAATCGTGGCAGGGGCGACTTAGTGATTGTGCGATACAACTTTTCCAGTGCCCTGGACGACGCAGGCTGTTGAACGGCCGTTGATGACTGCTCTTCTGGGCCAGATGGTGGGACGAGCGGCAACGGCATTATTTCATATGATGTAATGCTGGCTGGGAAACAGCTATGAAACGTCGATGCCTCCCCGTTCGCTTACGGTGTTCACCTTCCTTTCCAACGAGCTCTGCGATCTTGCCTGGAGGGTCACCATTCTTAAGCTGTGTGCCTAGACGGTGGGCAACCTTAGCTAGGACGCCAAACATCGATGCACGTTGTGCAGGAACAGTGGAGCGCGAGGGAAGAAAGCTGCCATCAAGCGCGTAACCTGCCCGATTCCCTTCGGCGTGGTGATGTAGTCCAAGGTGGGATGGAAAAGCCTCTGCAAGTGATGCAAGAGCCGGCGCTCCATGGAGGATAAGCTGGAGTTCCAAGGAATCAAGGGGCAAGTCGAGGGTTGCATCCGTTCGAGGTTCGGATCATTGCCTGAGCCTCTGGGAAGTAGGGTCCACGGATGTACTCTGGGTTACTCTCCTCCAGCTTGGAGTCGTCGGTTGTCGTGACCGGGCTCCCTGCATCGTTCGACGGATAATCAGTAGAGTGGGGTCCCTTCCAAGGGACCGATCCCTTGAACATTCCGAGGGAAACGATGGAATTCTCTGGCTTGTGCCCCTAGTACTACTTGGACTCACATTTGCACTGCGATGTGGGACGTGTTTCGACACCTGGCTGCTTTAGGTCAGTAGATAACGGGCGCCTGCATGAAAGTCGGGTTCGCTTACAGTGGGCACAAGTTCTGCTGCCTTACTTAACGCCAACCATTTGCCAATGAGCTACAATGTTAGCAACCATAGTAAACCCCAAGAGACTATCGGTGAGGTCTCCTCGGTCATGAAAGCTAACTTGTGTCTCCCGTTAGAAATGAAAATGAAGGTAGACCGACCATCCTCGCTGGAGAAGCCAAGCTCTACCACAAAGAAGTCGTGAACTTCAGAGGGTACAGATTTCTGATAGACTCCAACATAACCCGGCTAACAGAGGGGAGCTATACGAGGCCTTCAAAGTCGGTTGGGCAGGGTTGGTACCCAAGGAAAACGATGAAAAGCGAGCGAATGATGGTGCTATGGCCGATGCAAACGTATGGCCCTCCTCTCGACCCAGGCCCGGGTATACCCAGGACAAACTGCATACGTTTATACCTGATAATCAAATCGAGAGAAACTGCCAACGACGACTGACCTGCAGAGTGCCGTGCATTTTGTCGATAAGGGAGGGGTTCGTAGTGACATTCGAGGTTCACCAAATCATTCGACTCGCAAGCAAGGCTTGAATCACTTCCCATTCAGAGCAACACAATAATAACACGAGGAAGCTCGGCTGGGATATGTGAAGTCGACGACTCACATGCACCATGCCGTAGGTTGTGCAGAACCAACAAACGACGATTAAGCAACAAGAAACGGTCCATCCATATGCATCAATATCGTACTTCTGCGAGTCAACGCCTACGGTCGCGTTCCACTACTCATCTCGATATCACAATACTATGATTATCTATATAATATTGAATGTCTGGATTTTGCTTTGGAGGATGCTGGCTGAGTCCACAGGTTGAGCCGCGATAAGAGTAGAAGACGCAATCCTTTTGTACTCGTTGTGAGGCAATTCAGTTAACAGGAGAGCGTTAAATGGTCGTTCCAGTGTTAAGAGCAGCAGCTCTCTGGCAGCGGCGTCTAGTTTGGTAGACCCACCAAGTGACTTTGAATGCCAAGGGCGGACAAGCTGCAGAGAAGAACCTGTCACATTTTCCATCGCAGCATTTTCTAGCTCTTCTGGCACTTTTGGCAGTGTAATCTCAAGCGGCCTCAAACCAGACGCCTGGATTTCATATGTATAGCTCGGTGAGGATGGATCTGCACTCTTCAGCTGAATCGCTATAATATGGTGGAAGAAGCATGGTAATGTGAGGCGTCGGTTCAGAAATCGGGGCAGGGGTGACTTTGTGAGTGAACGATACAACTTTTGCAGTGCTTTGGATGACGCCAGTTGTTGACTTGCAGTCGATGATTGCTTTTCTGCGCCAGATGGTGGGACATGCGGTAACGGCGATGTTCGGTATGATGTAATGCTGGCCGGAAAACAGCTATGAAACGTTGATGCCTCCCCGACCCAGTCCAGAATCGAGATATCCCCAGACCGTGATATGACTTCTACTAGGAGACGTCCTAGAGCGAACTCTGCAGATTCGCCGTAAAGAACGGGTAGATGAAGATTGAAGGTTCCAAAAAGCGAGTAGGCGATGTCCTCAGGACGGGTGGTACGACGTGACGATGCCCATCGAAGTCTCGAGCGTGCTTCCTCCAGGCCAGGAGTAAAATCGGTGAGGAACCGAGATGCGATTCCGGTTGCCCTTGCAAGTTCTTCCAGCACAGCAGCATCTGTTTTATGATTCGAAGATTCGATATTTTTGTACAGCGACCAGGTTCGAGTGTAGAACAGAACGGTGCGAGGGGCCAACAGTTCTTGGAGGGTCCATCCACGTCCGAACCATTGGCTCCTAGCAAATGACCCAGTCTCAGGAACGTCGGCAAGATACACGATCGTTAGGGCAGATCGCCGATACCACCCGAACATCGATCCTATCGCCTCTTGTAACTCAGCACTGCTCTCTTTGTCTATGCAGCAAGTATCACACCACGCCCACAGGTAACCTCGCTTGAGAGCAGTAAGGCAAAAATTCTGGAGCTTTTTGACACCCCCGCTTGGTGTCATGTCATATATTCTGTGACCTTGGATGTCGCGCAGTGATGGTTCGCCTTGTCCCCAGCGGTGAGAGAGCATGACAAACCGGAAGTATCTCGAGATATCAGCGTGGATACGATGGATTCGTTCCACGGGGCCGTATGACATGGCTGATGACAAGAGCTTGATGTACTGCTGGCCACGCATGAATTGTAATATCTGCGCGTCCCGGTCGCACAAGATGCCCTTTTGCGTGTTCAGTAGTCTAGTCGGTGTGGTTTCGAGGGTTTCAAAAATGACATGCCGGATGACCTGGCTAACCTCATATTCGGTAGCAACCGACCGAATGGAAGATGCCCTCGAAATCCGAGAGCTGATCTTCATTTGGAGGTAGGTTGCAAGACTATCCTTGTATACGTCGTAACTCGGGTCCGCGGGAACGGATAGTTCCAGAGCCTTTTGTTCAAGTTTGATAGCCTCATCCAAATCACCAACGATGGCGGTCGCGTGAAACCGATCTATTAAGCATAGTGCAAGATCATGGAGGTACGAGGGGTGATTGGCATGTCCAGCCGGACGGAGTTGCAGCATAAGTTCGTGCAAAGTGATCGCTTCATGTAAGTCGACAATTCCGTGTTGGTTTCGAACCCTGTCCCTGAGGTTATGCCCAAGGGCACATAGATTGTCTACCGCTCGGCAAAGCATGATGGATTCACTCTGGTTTGTCTCTTGAGTTAGCCTCTTCACTCGCTCGTCAATGAATAGACTGAGCTGATCGACGGAGACCGCATAATCACGGTCTTTCGGTAGTCGGAGCTCCAAAGCATAAGTGGCAAGACAAATGGCCTCGTCCAAATCGGCTACTGCAGCCTGCTTCTGAAACTGGACCCAATGGTGTAGTGAGAGTGCGTGGAATGAAGAGACAGCATCTGCGCAACTTGTTGGACGGAGTGCTAATGTGGCTCGGTCAGGGAACTCTGCTCCGCCCGATCCATGCATCATAGTTTGTTTTGGCAACCTTTTGCCAAGGTAATAAGCGAGATTGTAGAGAGATACGTCACGATCAGAATGCCCTGGCGGACGGAGCTCCAGTGCTGCACGTTCGAGCGTGACAGCTTCTTCCAAGTCAACGACTACTCCCTGATTGTCGTATCTCTCCGAAAGACAGAGAGCGAGCCAGGCGAGCGATGAAGAGCGATGAGGGTGTCCAAAGGGACGGAGCTCCAATGCTTCCCTGTGCAGCTTAATCGCCTCGTCCAAGTCATGGGCCGCAAGCCTGTTTCTTGAACATCTTCCAGAGGTCAGAAGCGAGATTGTTGAGAGACACGCCACGATGGGGATGCCCTGGCGGACGGAGCTCTAGCGCTGCACGCCCGAATGTGACAGCTTCTTCCAAGTCTGCGACTACCCCCCTGGTTGTCATATCTATCCACAAGACAGACTGCAAGCCAGTAGAGCGATAAAGAGCGATCAGGATGTCTAGAGGGACGGAGTTCCAGTGCTTCCTGGTGCAGCTGAATTGCCTCGTCCAAGTCATGCGCCACAGCTTGTTTCTTGAACCTTTCCCGGAGGTAACACTGCGAGACCGAAGAGAGATAGGTCACGATCAGGATGACCTAGTGGACGGAGCTCTAGTGCTGCACGTCCGAGTGTGACAGCTTCTTCCAAGTCCGCGGCTACTCCTTGGTCCTCGTATCTATCCGAAAGACAGAGAGAAAGACCATGAAGTGATGAAGAGCGACGAGGATGTCCAGAGGAACGGACTTCCAATGCTGCCCGGTGCAGCTCGATCGCCTCGTCCAGATCGCGCATCACAGCTTGTTTCTGGAACCTCTCCCGGAGGTAATAAGCAAGATTGTGGAGAGATATATCATGATTCGGATGCCCTGGGGAACAGAGCTCTAGAGCTGCACGTGCAAGTCTTACAGCTTCTTCCAAGTCAGCGATTACCCCCTGACTCTTGTATCTATCCGAAAGACAGAGGGCAAGGTTATGGAGCGACGAAAAGCGCCGAGGATGTCCAGAGGGACGGAGTTCCAATGCTACCCGATGTAACACGATTGCCTCATCCATGTCGTCAGACTTCCCCTCTGTCTTAAATCTGTTGGAGAGGGCTTTCGCTAGGTTGTAAAGAGCATAATCCCGGTCGTTATGCCCTGGCGGACAACGTTCCAACGCTGCTCGCGCGTGGGAAACAACGTCCGTCAAATCCATTAGATGCTGTTACACCAGGAAAACGGACGTCGTGGAAATAGTTGTACCTTCGGGCCAGGTTCAGCAATCACTCGCAATAAGCCAGGAACAGTGGAGCCATACGTTATCCTTGGACACGAAAAAGTGACGAGGGGAAGCAACGTTCAATGTGCTACCAGAATCAGTAAAACTAATCATTAAGAAGGGTGAAAGCACCCACAGGTAAAAGGCACAGCGTCACGATGGAGCAGACAATCTTGGGTGTCGGTGGGAACAAAGCGTAGACACGACTACACGGAGGTCAATGCACATAACGCAACGATGGGCTCATCGAGACTCCACCAATGAATGGGAAAAGTTGATCCGGGAACCAAGAGAAAATACGAGGGCGTATGCTGCTCAAGTTGCGCAGATTGAAGAGCTGGGGAGGAGTTCACCACGATTGGTGGACGTCGAGATGCGAGAGAGGACAGGAAGCTAAGAAACACGTGGGTCATCCCTGCGCCCCAGGCGCTGCCTAACCACATGTCTGACCCTCTATATTTGTCTCAACAGCAAGTACAGTGCACTTACTCATAATAGACCACCACGTGGCATTGCCAGCAAAGTTCCACAACTCGCTTTTTCCACTCCAACGTGTGGACAGCTAGCTGAACACGGAAAAGTGCCATCATGGCATGCTTTGATCTTTATGTCCTGTTACTGACCAGCGCCCATGGACGTACGGTAGAAAAGCCGGGTGGAAATGGTGAGCTCCGGTCCGACAGAGAAATGAAGTTGACCCACGAACTCTCGGGAGATGTTGAATCTAGACTAAGACTGCTCCGCGTCTTGGAATAAGGCGAAATGCACGTTGCCACTCGGACAAGAATTTCCGAAACGGTTGTAAAAGGAAGTCTGTCGAATAGCGGGTCCACATAGTACTACTACTTGCTAGAGACCAATTCTTATCATCCTTTGTTACTTGAGAAGCTGTACCCCATCAAAGTAACTGAGGATCCAGGACATCGGACATCCCAGCCAGGCTCATGGCTTGTTTCTGCCGAATTGGAGATGCAACGTTGACCGCAGTGCTTCCACTCGAGCTCGACCTCATTCTGCTAGGGTATAGTAAAAGACGCGTTCCCCCCAGCCGCTGGCGAAACTTAAGAGCATGTTGCTTCGGGTGATGGCTACGTTCGTCAAGCCGCCTGTTCCTCCCTCGCCTTGCGCTGTTACGAACGTGTGTCGGACTCACCTCCTTCGTCGGCATTCCCAGAACCTGGTCACCGGGACGAGAAGCCTCTTTTTGCTGCATCTTCGAAATATTCTATAGCAGCTTCCATTCTATCATTGCATTTCATTCGCAATGAACGGACAGGGGACGCGTTTGTCATAGGTGGATCAGATGATGGTGGTGTAGCTATATGGTCGTTACCGTGAGTGGTCACCTTTCTGGCTCCTTCGCTAATCTTACCAACTCTACCCCAGGGATCTGAAACTACTCATGCGTTTCATACACTTCGTGGAACCCCTCTCCCATGTAGCTCAAATCCGGCCGCAAAATGAAAACGCGAAACCATTCGGTGGCTATGTATTGTGCTTCTCCTATGATAGGGACGATAGTCGTAAGTTACACTTGACGTGTTCCAGTTGTAAGCTCATTTTGAATGGTCACCGGTACCATTCTTGACACTCCAGTCGTTTTCCGCAGCTTGTGTCTCATTCCAGGCTCGGCTTCTCCACTTACGCATGTTTATTATGCTGGCGGAGCTGATTGCGAACAGATCATGACTATCTACGGAGATGGATCTCCCAGATTATGGGACTTCAAAGCTCGCGAATTTCGTCGTGCAATGGATCACGAGAAAGCCAAAGAGTCACTTGCTAAATCCTCCTGGCATGAGTTGTGAGCGTGGCGTCTTCACAACAAATTATATATCAGCGACTGAGACATCTCTTACCAATATCCTTGACAATCAAACATCACAACTATCACTTTCCCTCCTGACAACATCGAAGGAATCGGGGGGTCCAGGTGTGATTTTTAGGCACTTTTTGGGAAAGCAACATGTCGTATTTATGCAGAGTTAGTGTGTCCCGTCACTTGCTCTTCAGCGCTTTGTGATTTTCACTGCCACGGATACGACAGCTTTTGACAGCGTCCCACCTTACATCCCGAAACGTCCACTTCGGGCGACACCCCCTCACCAACTCCGTGGTCTCTTATCCCTGCTGTTGACACCGGCTTTAAGTCCGGAGATAGATGAGATCTGTGCTAGCAAGCTCGGTGTCCTAATGTCCTGTGGGCGCCTTGATCATTCGTGGTGAGTACTTAGAAGTGCCCCACCAGAGGGTGGCTTTCAGTAGTCAATTGGCGGCTGCCTGCCGCCGCTCGGACTCGAGGAATGCTTGGTCCATATTTGGCGGTGCTTCTGCGTTGCGGGCTGCCGCGATCATAGCTGCTCTAAGGGCGCTGTCACTTCATGGAGGTATCGACATGTCACCTAGCTATGTTCGTGCCTTGACCACTTGTGTCAGCCCTGCACGACGATTGCGAGACTGTGATCACATTCTATGCTACGTCACTCTCAACTGTGATAGTGCAGCACTATATACCTCCAGATCCTTGTATGGTTGGCAAGAAAGTGGTTTGAAACGACGAGTTGGGAGTTTCGTTTCCGCAGTCCCTTCGCAGACTGATTATTACTTAGATGAACGTACGTCAGGCGATGGAGGTCCTTGTTGATGCTGGAGTAGCAAGGTTGAGCGACGAGGAAAGTGTCAGTCTGGCTTAAAGCTTGGGAGCGACATCGTAAGTGGAATGTTTAGAGTTCCGCTAGGTGCACGTTTTCTTAACTCAATACAGTTCCAAGCACCAAGGGATCCGTTGACAGCTGCAAGGCATCTTCGTTGGCCGTCTGCCTATGTGGATACGTATCGGTCGAGAAACATGCGCTTTTATCTAACGAGTAAGTTGTGTCGATCTTCTGTGCAGAAAGCAGCTAAGGCTCTTTTCAGCACTTTGGCCAACATTTCCAAGACGGTCGCCTCACATCTACATGGGGAAGACTTAACCTAGCCGTTTATTAGCGGTTGACCTCTGTATCCTGAGGCTTTCGGGTCTGGCAGCGTCATGTAGATGCGATGGCTATCTTGCGTGCTCTGTTCACTCTTGCTGTAAATTCCCGCAAAGATAATGTCTCGATGCAGAATGTCGGTCAACAGGCGAGACAAGCCATCCTCCAGATTGCGTCGACTAACACTCCACTGTTCATGACGACTCTCACCCTCGACATACTCAGTCCGAAAGATCTCGAGTACCGTAAAATTGTGATGCAGGTAGTGGCGTTTCTCACCCGAAAGGTTCGTGTTGCCGCACCTATTCATCATTAAATTTCGGTGTTCGATGCAAGTGCAGAAACCCTTGCTACTGTATTCAAATATTTCCTCCTTGATGGAAGCGATAGTGAAGTCCTTAGACCCTAACTCAACTTCGAGTTGTGATGCAGTTCATGACACGGCTACGGAAATCATCGGTTATGTCGTGAAAACGTGGGTCATTCTCATGGCATTCTTTGTGACGCTTGATGGTACGATCCGCAGGTTCCCGACGGTTGATTTCCACATGGCTACCCAGCGTCTCGCGGTTGGGACATGTGAAGGCGCCTTTATCATGTATGACCTCAAGACTGCAACTCAACTATATGTTCTGGAGGGCCACAAAAAGCAACCAACGGCATGCTCGTTCTCGCCGGATGGCCGCCGGCTCGTCACAGTTTCACTCGAGGAAGGCATTGTACTTGTGTGGAAAGTAGGTTCGAGTTTCACAAGCTTTTTCCACCCTGGCGCGCCCCCTCGTCAGGGAAATGCTGGGTCGCAGCCGTACGAGACCCTAGGGTTCAATGTTGATGAGGAAGGTGTGTTCTCCGTCACGCACGCATGCCCGTCCTGACGTGGTGCTTGTTAGCAAACATGTCCATCGCAGATACTCTTGAATATGTAGATTTCGAGTGGCCGACGGAGCGTAGTGTGCGCTTACATATCCGAGAAAGCACGTTGACCTTTAGTACATAATACATATACATATGTATATCGGCCGGAGTTGCAAAATGCACATGTACTTACATCCAGTACAGTGGTAGTATGTAGGGAACCTATTTACTGCTTCGAGAGGTGCTATGTTTAGAATGACTTGCAAGGGCTGGAGTCAAATCACCACCACTTGCTCTTTTTGTCTTTTGTGTTGGTTTTGGTTGGTTTTCACCACTGAACCACACTTTGACTCACACTGAAGGGTGACAAATGAGTGGCCTCACTTGGAGGACTTCTTTTCCTTTACAAGAAGGTATGGGGGGTTTGAACAAAGAGGCTGCTGATGGAGGCCTCTTACTTCCTTCTTCTTGGTGCAAAGACACATTGACAAAGAGGAAGGTTAGTGCCAAAAGTTAGGGGCTAGCTCACTGATATTAAACCAGTGGTTCCTGTGGAAGTGGCAGGAGGTGCTCATTTTGCAGGCTATTTTGCCTAGCAAGGATTCTAGAGCACAGGTATCCAAAGGGCAAAGTCTGGTCTTTGATGTGGCTGGGTGGTTCAAAATCTTCTGTTATGCCAACAACTTGTATCATGTCACAAATCAAGTACTTGTCATACAAGCACATGACTGCATGAGAAGTGATGCATAATTTAACTTCACTAGTGAATGGAGCACTAGTCTTGGCCAACCAAAGTTGTACTGTCATGTCCTCATGGGTACAGTGGGCAGAGCTAAGGGTGGTTGCAAAGTAGATTTTGAATGGGGGACTGGTACAATACATGCAAGCTTTATATACATATGTAAAGTACCTGTGGACCAAACATTTGAAAACATTCAAATGTTCACCTGTGTCTCATATAATGCATCATTGAGTCATCCTTACACAGGTGCAAGGGTAACCAAGTCTGCAGACAGGGTTAAATGTGGAGGTGAACAGAGGCAAAGGAAGGGTAACCACATATATGACATATGCATGCAAATGGGTATCCTGGGGTAGACAGGCTACACATGTCACATGACCACATGGATCAGGGCCACAAGTGGATCATGGAAGGAAGGGTGAACAGACGTAGTCCAGCTATGGTACAATGCAGGGTGAACAGGGGGATACCATAAAAGGAAACATACAAGGAGAACATGAGTCCAGGGGCAGCTCACAGGTGACAGAACATCATCACTCAAAAGCATGATGAGCAGTAAGGTACAGAGTCTATAAAAGGAAAGAAATGTGAGTGGCACATAACAGCATCAATGTTTCATTGCTGTTTCTCAGGATGACCCAAACAGCAGGTGCTGCTGATGCATTCTTCCCATTGAAGTACTTTGCCTTTATTCACTGCGGAAACAGGATTTTAATTGGGTGTGGCGATAGTCAGGCGATAGGCCATAGTCATACTATATCCTAAGAGTAGCAAATGCTAATAATATGTCTGAGAATCATTGTGAGGTGTTCTCATTTCGAAGTGTAATCTGGTTGGATTTGCAAACTTATCATCATGACAATTCCAACATTCATCAACTATATTCTAAGCAGATTACACTGTGATTATAGGATATGTACATGAGTCACATCATATAAATCACATCGATCCTTGCTGGCTTCACTTATGCTATTCAGAATAATAAGATCAGATTATATTCCAAATGCCTACTACACGGTGTGCTTCGAAAATGGTCCCCCCCCTGGGTGCCGCCCTTGCTCGCTGCTCCCCCAGCCCCCTTGTCTGAATCCAGTGTGTACAAACATGTCTTCCATGCTGTAGACAAATGTACTCTCAGGCGCATCTGAGTGGGCGCACATCAGGGCACTCTAACATTCTCCCTGGCCATCCAGACAATCTGTTTGTGCCTCCTAGTCAAAGTGACCGACCATCAGCAAATATGGGGCAGGGACTAGAGCCCCACAGCATCCTTTGGACCTGCAATGGCACTGTTGGAACCCCATCAAGGTGATAGCTTGATCGATGTGGGTGGTGTAGCATAGCAGGTGCAGGTGCAAGTGTGGGTGCAGGTGCAGGTGCATATTGACCTTGACCAAATGAATAAGTATGCTAGATGGACTAGTACTGGTACAGGAAGACAGACATACAAAATGCTTGTTCATGGTGAACAAGTTTAATGATGACTTCTTCACCGGAGATGATGTTGATTCCAAGGTAGATGTCACCTGGGGAGTGGTAAGGGTGTGCATACATTCAAGCACATAGGAACTTTGTGCACCGAACAAGCCTGAGCCTATCTTCTTACTGAGCCTGTACTTTCCACTGACATGGAGGTTAAGTCTATGGGTGGGGTTGTCTGACATGGTGGCGACGACTGTATGATGGGACTGATGATGTGGCTGGACAACAGAGTGAGTATGCAGACCAAGGGCATGCAAGAAAGCTAAAATAGCAAGAAGCAGCAGGAAAACGTGTGTAAAGCACTGTCTCAATTCGTTAGCAAGTTCTCCATTATTTGCTGTGTAGAACCAGCTGGACTGTGGGATGGTGAACTCAGAAAAGTGCCACAGCTACCCCAGGGAGTGAAGTGCAGGCCAGGGGATCAAAGGTGGCCTCATGTATCACACTCATCTGAAGAGTCAAAAGGCCACATGGTCGCCTTGAGGTGCTCGAGTGGGCATGTGATGCCATAGTTGTGAAAACCACATGGTTAGACTAGTACTGAGGTGGACTCACTGGATGGGAATGAAAGGGAAAGAAATTGGTACTGTCTTGTAGAGTAGAACTCCCTAAGGGTCAGCTAGAGTAGGGAGGATTAGCAGCAGAGGAGATGAATGAGAAAGACCAAGAAGAGGCAAAGAGGAGAACACAGAGAGACAATGGAGGACAAGTGACTGAGGGAAAAAATCACTAAGTCCATTCGTCTTTCTGAGGGTTGGAAAGGTAGCAAGGGCTACTTTTCAGATAGCAGTATCATTGGACTATGGCTGATAGAGTTGAGCATAGTTGGGGTCAGGAAATGCATTGTGGGAGTGGTCAGGTTATTGGTGTATTGTCTATATTCAGATCTCATCTACATGAGATTATTTGGACATGTTATTCAGAAATCGTCGAGTCGGATTTTGCTCAGACTAATGGTTATATCTTACAAAAAAAATCTAAGGTCAGATTATCTACATTTAAAGAGTCCGATTATACCCCCCGCTAAAATCTCGTTTCTGCAGTGATTCCCCCGACTTGACTTGGTGCTGGTCCCTTTGGCAGCCTTGAGTAGAAATTTACGAGGGGAGCTAACCCTTCACCAGAACTCGCCAACTGAAGAATGCTCAAGACTTAACAATCTGAACGTACCACAAGTTTCTGTGTAGTAATTTTGGGAGGAATAAGGTTCCCCATCTGGCGGCGGACGAGGGAGGGCCGCATACTTTGGTTTGTAGTCTAACGAACGGCAGCAGAACTTGCGGTTAGACTCGGGCAACTTGGTTGGTCTTGTTTGCACGTCGGACGATGTTGGCTTCCCCTACTCCCACGACAGTAATCGGAACACGTGATCGTTCGCGGCCTCCAAGTGAAATCAAGTCAGACTTGAGGGGGAGGAGGAGAACTGGCGTGACGGGTTCCGGCCCTGTGGTGATATAAAGGTCTTTTTCTCCCTTAAGTTACTCACCTACTGACCGCCGTCATGGTCCTTAGTCCATCTAGGTTGTTGGCATTTGCTACCTTGCTCAGTCCATTTGCACAGACGGTATGGGCGCTCTGGCCCATCCCAACTTCTCTAGAAACTGGGACGACCGCGTTGGTGCTATCCTCCTCTTTCTCGATTGACGTCGCGGTCCCCAATGTCCCATCGGATCTCCTTCAAGCAGTTGCTCAAACTCAGTCATACATTCAGAACGACAAGCTTGGCCGCCTGGTCGTTGGACGTGGCATTAACGATAGTTATGCCATTCAGAATGCAAATCCCCTCTTATCCTTGAAATTGACGCTCATGGAAGGTAGTCAAGTCCGGAGTATCTCTTCCGAGGCGGTGAAGCCCCTGGGCACTCGCAGTGAAGAATACACCCTTGTCATTCCCCAAGACGGGAGCCAAGCAACCCTGACAGCGAATTCCACGCTTGGCCTCTACAGAGGTCTCACAACTTTTACCCAGTTGTGGTACTATTATGATGGCGTGATCTACACTCTTCTTTCCCCAATAAAGATTTTCGACGAACCCGCCTATGTAAGCATGAACTTCCTGTAGCAGCTGATCCGCTCACTCAAGTCTCGCCTAGCCCTACCGCGGTTTTGCGCTTGATACAGCTAGGAACTAGTAGGTGTTCACCGACTCACTGACTGCGTGCCAAGTTAATGAGTTCCCGACCCTGTAGCTTTCCTGTCACAGACCTAACCAGAACTTTGGACGCAATGAGCTGGGTCAAGCTAAACACGTTCCATTGGCATATCACAGACAGTCAGAGTTTCCCTCTCCAAGTCTCCCTGTATCCAGAACTTGCCGATAATGGTGCCTACTCCCCCCAAGAGGTGTACACCGAAAGTGACGTCCAGTACATAGTGTCATACGCTGCTGCGGTAGGCACTCATGAGATTTTCGTCATATCATTGACCAATGTTCCCCAGCGTGGTATTGACGTGCTGCTAGTGCGTGTTTCTTAAATGATAAATCGGAGATGATTCATACCTCATTCCACAAACACAGGAAATCGATACTCCAGGCCATACTGCTATCATCGGAACTTCTTATCCTGATTACGTAGCTTGCTTCGACGCGTCACCCTGGGCCACCTACGCAAACGAACCCCCCGCTGGCCAACTTCGCTTCGCGGTCCCCGAAGTGGTCAACTTTACTGCGTCTCTGCTCTCCAGTGTTGCTCAAACCCTCATGTCCAAATACTTTAGCACTGGAGGCGACGAACTGAACACGAACTGTTACGTAAACGACTCTATGACACAACAGCAGCTGAACCAAACAGGTACCACCCTCAACGCTGCACTCGATACCTTTACCCAGGCGATACACGGGGCACTCATCACCCAAGGAAAGACCCCAGTGGTTTGGGAAGAGATGGTTCTGAATTGGAACCTGTCATTGTCAAACGAAACAATTGTAATGTAGGCACTCTTGCCATGCCTCGAGGAAGTAATGCTATTGATTGAATGAAGGGTCTGGATCTCTTCAGCAGATGCGGCAGCCGTAGTTGAGAAAGGATTCCGTATCGTGCAAGCGCCCTCCAACTACTTTTACCTGGTGAGTTCTCACATTCCATGCTCTAGACAACTATAACCGTAAACCGACAGGACTGTGGTGCTGGAGGATGGCTTGGAGACGATCCAACTGGGTGAGAGCAATCAAGCTAGTGTAGATCGTACTGTGCATCTTACACGTCTCATTAGGAACAGCTGGTGCGATCCATTCAAGACGTGGTCCGAGGTAGGCTCCTAATCAACCAGTGACCCTTCTGGATACTTAGTGTTCTCAGTCTTACACGTTTGACCCCCTTGCAAACTTGACAGAGGCGCAATATCCTCTTGTTCTTGGTGGCGAGTCACACGTTAGGGTATCAAAAGCTCTGACTGAGAAATTTCTGTTGCAGGAGAGCAATTCCTCTGGACAGAACAATCAGGTCCCCAAAACCTCGACTCCATTGTATGGCCTCGAGCTGCATCTTCTGCTGAGATCTTCTGGAGTGCCAAGCAACCAGGTGGAGCTCCTCTCAACGTCTCAGAGGCACTTCCGCGACTGCAGGCAAGTTACATCTAAATCGCTCATTCACACGTGTTTGTTTTACCTCACAAACAGGACATTCGATACAGAATGGTCCAACGAGGTGTCAACGCTATACAACTCCAACCACAGTGGTGCGCTCTGCGTCCACATGTCTGCGACCTGAACGCATGAATGGGTAGTACAGTGAGTTGCCACGTCCCGGTCACAATAATCGGAAGTAGTCGGTTCGACTTCTCTAACGACTTCTGACGTGCGGGAGATACTATCATCTGGCCGGAGTTGCAAAATCACCTACACACCTACACAAGTATATAGTATTACATAAAAAATACATGGATGGGTAGAAAGCCATGTGTAGAGGAACTTCTGATAGCCTGAGATGAAAGTGATCTGTGAGGTGTAGAAGTTGCCAGAGAGATGCTAGCTTATGACATAAAAATACACAGTTTTAAATGTTCCCATCTGCCCTGTAACTGAAATTCTCTTTGATTGTCCAAGAAAAAAAAAAAAAAAAAACTGTAGCAGGTATGTGTGTCTGAGAAATGCTGCAATGGCTTTGTACATTTATCCAATGTGTGCCTATGCAGTACCTAGATAGTAGAGCCTTTGATTTGGGTGGGTTTTTGCAAGCTACAACACTCAAAGATGAGTGCTGAGGGTTGGGGGTGCCCCTGATGAAGAGGGAGCAAGAATGTGATAGAAAGTGATAGGGTAGACTGCTGTCAGCCTACAGAAGGATGAATGGTGACTTAATTCAATGTCCTAAGCTGCAATGAGCTCAGGGAGGGCTTGGAGTGAAGTATATTGATGATAGACAAGGATAAGTGAAGTAGATGATAGTTAGACCCTTAATAAAGCCTCAACTATCATAGCTGCTGAATGAATTACTGAGTGATGATAAAATGTGAGCAAGAGGGGCTCTCTGATGTCTTCCTTTTTTTTTTTTGCTATCTAAGTACAGTGATTTATATACAGTACAGGGGTGTTGCCTATGGAAAACAAGGTGCAAACACTTGGTAAGTGATTGGTAACTGATGAGTAAGGAATGTAAGTGATGGGTAATCATCTTGGAAAGCATTGGTAAGCATTGGTAAGCATAAGCAAGCCAAAAGGCAAAGAATCAGTAAGCAAAGTCAAAAGATTGGTAAGTATTGGCAATAGGTGAGTCAAAGACAGTCAAAACATCAAAGTATGAGTCAAGTAATGTCAGGAACTGGGAAAGTGCACTGGAATTGCATTAGGGGGAGGCTGTGCATGTCACATCTCAAAGAGATTGCTTCTAGGCCAAGGTGGGATGACAGAGAGGCAGCACTGATCTGATGCCAATATAGTACATCCAAAAGTGGACAGGGTGAGTCAGATGTCAACAGGGGTCAAGCTTTGGGGGTCTGTGGGGTGACAGGAGCACAGGGGATTGCAACTTTCCCCCCCAAACCATCCTCTCAGTGAAGCAAATAAAAACTTCATGAATGAAGGCTCTGTTGGAAGAGAGGATGAAGGGGGAGTGTCTTCTGCTGTATCTTGCAACAAGGAGGCAAGATGTGCATCATACTCATCATGGATGTGATCAGGGAGAGTGGAGAACAGTAGATTATACTGTAGCTGTTGCAATCTTGGAAGAATGATGGATGAGACTGGTACTGAAGACATTGCAGGGAGCAGGGAGGAAGGATCCATATGCTTCTTGGACTGGAGAGACTGATATGACCACATATGACCTTTCCAAGCAAATGACAGACCTGAGGCAACCAAAGAACATTCCTCCTAGAGGTCATACTGTACAAAAAGAAGCACACTGTCCAAGCTGGATGGGCTGAGAGGGTGCAGATGAGGGTGGGATGTACCAGGATGCTTCAGGACATGAAGCTGGTAGGAACTCCTGGTAGATATATGTAGCCATGGTCCCTAGCAAAGGGGACAAGTGAAATGATTGACATGGAGGTGGCCATATCAGAAGAATTAGCAAAATGAGTGTCTTTTGGAGGGAGTGCTGTAGAAACATGTGGAGTGTGCAAATCCTTTCCAATTTGGAAGGTAGGATCACATGGCTGAGTGCTACTAAGCAAGTGTGGGAATGGTCTTCAGTATCTGCAGAAACAGCAGAGATATGTTGAAAGCCAGAATGCCATACATGGGGCACTTAAGAATTTTAACCAGTGCTTAACTCACTTCCTTTCTTTTTCTTTGGCACTGATGACTTGTTCTTGTGTGCAAGGGATGACTGCTGACATTTCTGGCTGTCCTTCTTCACATGAGGGCTATGGTCTTCATCTCCATTCATCAGCTGTATCCATGTCCACCTCACCAAACACCTTTGGTGTGTGACAGTGGGTGACTTCACTATGGACAGTAATGAATATGATCTTGCACTTGAAGGCATATGCACCCAACTTTTCACCCAGTTTTTTGATCCTCATACTCCACTGACTAAACTTTCGATCCATACCAAAATCAAAGATTATTTTTTGATACAGAAGGGAGTTGCTTGTGTGATATTCCTTGATGGTCATGTTGAGGAGTGATGGCAACAAACCTTGAATTTCCACTCCTGTGCAGACAAGCTGAAGAATAAGGGTGGACTTGGCACACACTTGAGACTTAGATGCCCTTTCACAAATCCCTGAGATGATGACTGGCTTATCTAACATGGGAATTCTCTTCCTGAGTACTGTGTGTGTGAATGGCTTGGACTCATGTCAGCTCTATTCAGATTGTGAATGATGAATAACTCACAAAGTATGGATGTAGCTCTTTGCACTTTGCACCACCCTCTTTGAGTTCATGGCAACTGGGACACTGGAAGTCTATGTCCTCAGCACAGGCCTTGTCCATGAGCCACTGCACTAATCCTAAGCAGGGGTCACACATGATGCGAGGGCAGGAATAGCACTTGAATATGTATTTAGCTCCATTGTGGCAAAGGTAGCAATACTACTTATCATGTTAGTGGTGATAGGAGGATGGACCTATAGTACATACCCAGTTATGCCACTCCTCAGCCAGAGGGGACTGTCCCTGAGAGGATGGAATGGATGTCAATGAACTCAGTGTTGAAGCCTTTGAGGTGGACTTCTGGCCATGGATAGTTCCTCAATGAAATGTTGACACATGATGTGCTAACTTGCAACAAGAAAATTGTGTTGTTGATGTGAAAACAGGTCCACACAATGTAACTGACCACAGTATGTCACACATGTGCAAATCTCAGCAGCTTCTAATACTAACTCTGCAGGATTGTTGAAACTGCTGGCTGACATCTGTCACTTATATCATGGAGTAAGTGTTCACAATTTCTCAGCTCATTGAAACAGTTGGCCTACATCTGTTGCCTGTTTCTGTGAGCTGGTGCTCATGCACCTGGACCTCCTCAACCTGCTTGTGAAACTGCTGGCTGACATCTGTCACCTGTTTTGCTGAGCCTTACTTGTGATACCATTGGCCAACATCTGTCACCCATATCATGGAGTAAGTGTTCATGATTTCTCAGCTCATTGAAACAGTTGGCCTACATCTGTTACCTGTTTCTGTGAGCTGGTACTCATGCACCCAAACCTCCTCAACCTGCTTGTGAAACCATTGGCTGATATCTGTCACCCATATCATGTAGTAGGTCTTCATGGTTTTCACACTCAAGGCAACAGACATGGAGACAGTCAGTATATGGTCACAAAATCAACTTGTGATTGTTTTTTTTTTGACAGGCAGGCCTGCACACTGACCTTCGGTTGTACAGTCAAGATGTACAGCAAGGAAAACCCCATTGAACCCCTTCTGGTGTCTCCTGATCAGGTTGCTTCTTTGTGCTACACCTCAGTATGTTCCTACTTGCACTCTTGATCAGCTGCTTCATTCATTCTGGATGATAGGGAACAACAAACTTGCCAAAAGGTAGAATACCATTCATGATGCCAGTGGTTCTTAACTTATCTTTTCACAGGAGCAATCATCACCCACATGAATCTCACAAGCATGGCATATGCTAACACCTTTGGTACCAGCTTTCCCCTGGGCTGCTGTCTCATGTCATACTTGCCACTGGTGCACATTTATGAGGTTTGTGGGATTCTATTTAAGTCTAATAACATGTCTCCATGATTTGAGTGTGCAGTGGATTTGTGAATTGATGGTAATCACTCTGGGTGGAGGTATTGGGTACTCCACTGGCAACCCCTTGTGCTTGATGGATGATGCCCAAGCCTTGACACCTCACTTTTTCCCATTGGTACCATGAGTGCTGAATAGGGTATACCAAGCTGCCATAGTCCACTGGTAGTGTGCTAGGGTGTGAAGGGTGCTATTTTCTGAACAGCAGTGCAGATGAAACTAGATCAACTTCACAAGACTGGGGTAACTGCCCATGTCATATGGGACACATTGGTGTTCTGCAAGGTTCATGGCAGGCTTCTTGATGCAGTACTCAATTGGCTCACTCCGCTTGGCTTCCAGATTTGCACTGCACTTGGAGGGAACATTTTGCTGATGGTCACCAGTTCTGCTCCCATTAGTGGTGAAGTGGTTGATTTCCTCAAGATCACTTTTGGTTGTGGTGTTATGGAAGGTGTGACAAACCTACTTCTTTTCCTTCCCTCACTAATTTTTGTCCAGGGTAAGTGAGGTCATGGGATTGCTTGATTATGTTCCATTAATGACTCTGGGCAGTTATGGCATGACAGAGAATTGTGGAGTTTGCATGCACACTTCGCAGGGAGACCCAACTGGTGGCAGGATAATCAGACCACCTCAACCAATTCTCAAAGTCAAACTTGTCGACCTTCCAGCGATGAATTACCTGTCTAATGATAAGCCAAACCCACATGGAGAGTTATGTGTCTGTGGCCTGAACTGCTTCATGGGATATTATAAAGGTATGTCTCCTCTTTGCCATTTACTAAGGCCTGTGAAAAGAAATGGTATCCATCAGATGAGAAGACTACCCAGGAGACACTGAAGGACAGCTAGATACACACCAGGCATGTCGCAGAAGTTGATAGTTCCAGATGCTTCAAGATCATTGATTGAGTGAAGGTGTGTTGTCTTTTTTGGCCCACCCCTGGTGCAGGTAAGTAATCCATACACACCAGAACATTATGAAATTGGTGCGAGGCGAGTACCACCGAACACACCACTTTCACTATCCTTCATCCCAGCCTCCCCTCCCCAAGGACCTGTAACATTGGGCTCAACAATGTTGGCTCTTGGCACCATCTTGGCATCTGTCCACCTGCCCCCCCTCCTAGTCAGCCCTTCCTGCAGCTGCTGCCATCACCCTTACCTTCTACCCCTTCACAAAGAGTTCTCAACCCATCTCCAGCTCTGCCATCACCATCAATGGCCACAATGTGGGCTCCATCACCACCAGGACAGCTTTGTGTGATGATGTTGATGACCTGTAGGAGTCACCTTCTCAGGTGGAGACATCATTGACTATTGTGGGTGCAAGTCTGTTGTGACATCCTTCAGGTAGCTTTTTGGATCTGGAGTGTACTGAGTCAGGGCTTGCACCTGGAAAGGGATCACATCTCTCCCCAGTATGCATATATGTATCAATATCCTGCATGTCATTGCACCATGAATTCCCATGTATATGGTATTATATTGAATCAACTATTTCTCTCACAAAATGAAGTTGTTGTTGTCACCATGTTCATCACATAAATATCCTTCCATCATATTGTCTGGAAAGGTTGTTGTCGCTGTCCCAGGTGCCCTGTCAATGATACCCCATCTCCCTCACATCTTGACTAGGCCTACAACAGCTCTTAAGCTCCTGATATCCATAATTATCCTTGCTTTTTGAGACTCAAAGAACATGACCTCTTCTGAGGCTACCTTTCCATCTGTGTCCAATGGTCTAACAAGTGTGACAACAATGGTTTTGCCTCTGAGTTCTCCAAAGAGTGGTGTGGCAAGCAAAATGAGGGCTATTATTTTTTCTAGGTGACCATACCTGGTTTGGGTTAAGACAGAACCTGTGCAGGTCTCAAACACTGTTTCAAACTATGGTATTTAGTAACTAGAGACATTACAAGTATCTGACCATGATGGGCCTACTCTGACATAGCAATTCCTCTGCTCTAATGCACCAAATCTGCATGACACTTCTTTAGTCTGAAATAAGTCTCCACCATGGCAGACCCTAAGCTTGCCTGCTGTAAACAGTGCAAGCACTGGAAGCTGTTTCTTGATCTCTGAGCTTCATTTGCCAAGTACTTGTCCCAAGTATCATGTGACCCTTTTGTGGAGGTCACAATCAAGCTTGTGTGCCCATCTCATAGGGAGGCTGAAGCACATGGTCTGGCATCTGGTCAGTTTGAGAATGAGTTTTGCATGTAAGTGACATCAGTGCATACTCACAATCCTTGAGGACAAGTTCATATCCTATTGGACTGTCATCTTCATGCTCATCTTCATTTGCAAGCTCATCTGAAAGGTCATATTGCATCTGCAACTGTTCCAGGTATGTGCAATGAAGTAATGCTTTATTTAAATTACTCCAAGGGTGGCTGCATGAATGGAGTGTATTCTGGAGCATCCCACAAAAGCACTCCATATGAAAGGTCCAAGTGGTCCACACTGGCCCACAGTCTCGGATACCCTGTATGACATGTAAGACACCATGGATCATGAGTGTGCAAGCTGGCAGGCATTCAATGTCATATTGATAATAGTATCTATTGACAAAAATTAGTGTTGTGATACAATTGAATCAGAAACACACATACCTCTCATATTTCTGCACCCAATCTATAACACATCTTTCAATATTGTCAAGTTGTCTGTGTGGGATGCAAAACTGTAAAGTAGCCTTCATTGATTGCTGCTAGCTTGCACATGTGCTTGTAGTATTTGTCTTTGGGAAAGCACCCCTTCAGTAGCTTCAGAGCAAGATGCACAAACCAAAAACACCATGTCTCTGCCATAAAGAGTGAGCAGTCTGTTACAATATTCATGAGCACATGGACAAATGTAGATGGTATGTGTCAGAGAGCAGGCAACAGCTTCTTTTCCAATCTCCTCTCAAATTTTCAGGTTGCAATTTCGAAGTCTTCATTACCCATCCCAAGACCCTTGAATTGGCCTGTCCAGAAGTTGACAAGGTTCAGGACAATGTTCTCTAAGAACAAATGAAACCATTCCCATGGGGATGATTGTGCATAATCCAAGGACCTGACATGAGTCAGGCCTGGCAATCCTTTGATGCCAGTCTCCTTTGCAATCATCACCATCTCTTTTTTTGTTTTGGCCACTGCAATCCTTGCCATTACATCCTGAGAAGTCATCATGGTGTTGTAAAGGGGCTGGTTGATAGAGGGTCCTTGCACTGCAGTTTTGAGATGGCAGGTGAAGAGGGATGTAATAGGTCTTGCCTAAGCCATGAACAGCTTTCACCTTGCACAAAGTGACAAGGGAAGATTGAGTTATGGCCCTTGAGACTTTAGGAAGTGCTCGATTGCAATGATATCACCAGATTTGATGATGATATATCCATGCATCTTGAAAAGGGCTTGCTGGGATGCATCAAAAGTCTGGACAACATATGCTAGCTTGGCACATTCATTGTCCAGGGGAACAAGAAAAGAATGAAGGTCCTTGGGTTGGTGCAGGCCAGGAATAATTCTGATGCACACAATAGGTTTTTGCTGTGAGTTCGCACATGCAGAGGCAGGTTGTAGTTCTGCAACAGGAGTGGTGTGCCAGATGGGCCCATGCATCACCACCTAAAGAGTAAATAGCTATTGGTACAAAGGCCCAATGTGATGTCTTGGGAATCTGAGAAGTATTGGTGAGGTAACTCTTCTCCATCAACAATAATGTGACAATGGAGAAGCCACTTGGTAATGATTCCCATCAAATACATCCACAATCTCTCCTCTCCCAATATCATAATCTGCACAGTATGAGAGCATTTTGATCATCCTCATGCTTTGGAAATACCCTTGCAGTTGTCAGGATAAGTGGGAGATACATGAATTGTCAATGTGGCCTTCTGTACTGGTTGAATCACACTTCTTGACAGAATGGACAAGACTGAAGATAAATACATTTTTCAGTGTAGGCCACACATGAATTT